TAAGAATGGAAGCTTCTGAAGACAAAATCCAAGCTACTAGAAATTTTCTAATACAAAGATATGGAGGTCACAGCCCGAGTGTTGATGCAATTAAATCAACCCATGACGGTTTACTCACAAAAAGATATTTAAGTAAATTTTGTATGGGCTAGAACTTAAGGATAGTTTTTTTTTGGATAATTTAGAACATTTTAGATGTTTTTGAACTTGAGAATAGTTTTTGATGTCTAGAAATATGATTTTTGGATGGTTTTGGAACGTAAAGTTTTTGGATATTCAGAACTTATGAATATTTTTTTTTTTTTAAATGATTGAAACAATATTTTGGTAGTTAATTGATACTTATATATATGTTTGTGAATCTTGTTTGTAATTTTGTTTAGATTGTAGAACAAATGAAATAGAACCTACGGAATATATATATATACAAATTTTACGGCATGTAAAAAAAGTTGTGAAATTTGGACTATTTACGGCAGGCAAAAGAAGTCATTGCATTAAATATTTAACGACTAGTAATGAATGTCTAGTCATTGTTTGTCCTTTAAATTAATGACGTGCAAAAGTAGTTGTAAAGAAAAATTAAACATGACATACATGATCTGCTTTAAAGGGTTTTTAACGGCGCATTATGGCATGCCGTTGAAGTAAATGACTTTCCATGACTAGTTATAATACGGTTTTGCATTGTGCGTCGTAAAATTGTATCCACGACATGTATTTGATGCTATTAAAATTCAGTTTTGTTGTAGTGCCAAAAAATTAAAGAGGGGAACTTTTGCTTGATTAACATTAGAATGACATATTAAAAGTTTAGCATTGTTGGAACCATAATTAGAGCACTGCTAGTGGGAAACTTTTGCTTCATTAACATTTGCAAGTGGTAAGCTTTGACTGAGATCTATACCATTTGTATATCTAATGTCTAATCTTGCTTCTAATATATACATCTGGTATTTTTTTTATTTTTATTTTTTGTCAATACTGTCATTATGAAAATGGTAGGAAAGAGTCTGATATATTTTCTCTGTCTCTGTCTTTTTCTCTCTAGATACAATTAACCAAATTTGTCATTGGAGATGACAGTGTGTACCTCATTGCTTAAGTTTATGAAGCTGTTTAATTTATTTATTTTTACTTTGTAATTATGTTTTTGGTATAATTCTTCTTTATAATTTATGATACAAAATAGTTTAATTTAGTTGAATAGACTAATTATTAAGAATTGAAAGGAATTTTTTTAGCATCTATTTTTTAATTATCAAATTTTCATACTGCTAGAACTACGGCCTAAGTATTCTACATGTAATTCTTAGCATAATACTATAGCGTTATTTTCATAGAATCAAGACTATGATTAAAGCACTATAAATAGAAATTAAAATGCTAGTTTCTCACAAGGGAAATGAAATATATATACCTCATTATCTACGCGTATTTTTTTTTTACATACACATACAGCATTCTTGTTCCTACAAATGTAGGTACGAGGAGTACTACACTTCAAAACTACTATAAATATTATCATATATTTATGTAGGTGTGCGCATTATTTATAAAATCTTAATTAAAAAGCTACGTTTAGTTTTGGCTTTTTAGCTAAAAAAAGTACAAAAGACAAAATTAGATACATAAGTCAATAAGTTAAAATGTCACATCCAAACCATAATCATTATACTTTTTCTCTCACAAAAGTCAAAAAAGTCAAAAATAAAAACCAAATAAGGCTAAAAACTTCAGGCTAAAATAGCCGAAAAACCAAAAAGTCAGGCTATTTTAGCCCTTCCCAAACAAAGACTTAAGTAGAATATTTTACTTATTTATAATACTTATGCATTTATATTTTATTTTTATAATTTTTTCAAAAACTAAATAAGTATGAAATAAATATTTTAAAAACTTAATAGATTCAATCGATTGTTTAGGAAATAAACTTTGGTTTATATATTTTAAAAGCTTAATAGACTCAATCCACAATTTAGGAAGGAACACTACAAGAAATTTCACTTTTGGCAACTAAAATTTTATTCGCTAAAAATCTTGTTTTTGGTCGCCAATCACTTTTGCCGACTAATATATTTGGTCGCCCGTTTGGTCACCAATAGTTTGTCGGGGAAAAAATCGGCAACTAAAATTTTTTTGGTAGCCAAAAGTAACCTATTGGCGACTAAAAATATATTTTTAAAAAATAATCAAATATATATATTTTTACTTTTAGCAACTAAATTATTTAGTAGCCAATTGAACATGTATGTTTGGCGACTAATTATTTGGTAGCCAAAAGTTTCACTTTTTGAGAATTAGTGACTAAAAATTTAGTAGCTAAAAGTTTTTTTTTTTTTACAATTGGCGACTAACAGTTTAGTACTCAAAAGTTTCACTTTTTTACAATTGGCAACTAAAATTTTAGTAGCCGAAAGCCAACCTGTGATATTTGTTTAGTCACCAAAAGATCTCATTTAGTTTTTATAATTTGTTCTGTAATATTTTTTGCACCACCTATAACCTGTGCATATACAAAATTATTCATCCATTCATTCATTCAATTCTCAACCATTCAATAAAAATAGTTCTCCACAACCTGTACCATTCAATTTTCAACCACATACAAAACTTAACTATTAACCGTACATATCAAAGAAAATAAGAATCCATAAACATAGTATAATCCAACAAATACATATACTATCCAAACCAACAATTAAAATCCAAATTAATGAAAATCTTAATAAAAAAACATATTAGGGTCTCCATCTTCTTATCACGTGCTGTTGATGCAGCTTCGGATATGTTAGAAAAAGGTCTCCATCTCATTCTATTGTTAAATTCTTACATGTAGGTCACCGCATCGGGAATCAATCCAGTTATTTGTCTTGTTCAACTTGTGAGACTTCTCATAGTATTTGCAAAAATCAGGTAACTCTGCGTCATTCTCATCTACCTGTTAATTTCTCATCTAACAAAATTGTTTTAAGCAAAGAATCCAAATGTGGAAAAAGATTAAGAAGGAATCCAGTGACAAAGATGAACATAAATTTCGAATAAAAAACATGAACCAACACCCAAAGTAACAAATGACACCAAGATGAGCAAAAGTACTCTTATTTCCATTATGAGTGAATGAGACTTGTGTAAATTCCCACTAATCATCAATCCAAGGAAAGGCCCTTGATATCTATTCGGTTAGTGGTGATGACTTCAAACTGTCAACTGTACTTCAAGCATTTGTAAAAGTATTCTAACTTTGTAAGAATTCATGAAAGAAAATTTATGGTTGAATGATATGTACTCTGAGCAAAGTATTTGACTAAATAAAAAGAGAAATGCTACCAAATTAAGCATTGAACTAGTGAAGAATGTGTAGTTACAACTTGTTCTGAAACATGTGCTTGCCAAGTGACTGATTATAAAACAATTGATTGACTGAAAAAAGAATCATTATGGTTAAGGACAGGTATATTACTTGATATAGTTCTTGCTTGGGTTCCTAGAAAAGCAAAGACAAAAATGAGAAAAAAAAGTTTTTAGCATGAGAATCTTCATCTTCTTCTCTGCCCTTGACACAATGAAGATAACTTACTGAAGTGTATTAATTATAAAGTTTTTATTTATAATTGATGAGACTCCAATGTAACACCTATATTGCCATGGGGCCAAGGCGAATTAGACTTTTAACTCCACTTAAATGATGAATAATAATGAATAAAAAGATTAGTCAACAAATTTAGCACCTAAATTTTTAAGAAAATTACTATTCACACTCTACTTTTGCTTTCTATCCTTAAATTTTGCTTTTAGCCAAAAAACAATATGGGGTGTGAATAGCCAGTGAGGAGTGTAAATAATAATCTCCATTTTGAAAATTCAAATGAAATCATTACTCACCCAATTTGGCCATCTTCCAAATAGTTATGGAGCTGCCACACCTTGCCAAAACAAACAGGATGATTGCCAACTGACAAGGTCACATTTTGTCATTTGCACTAGTAATTTCCCAAGTGAAACACAATAAAACAACAAGAAGAAAGAATACTATAGTTTCAAATTATGATACTATAGAAAAGGAAAAAAGAGTTGCCTAAAATACAAATATGCTTAGTTTGAAAGGGTTTAATATTGAAAAGAGTAAATTCACAACTTAGATAACCAATTCCCCCTGTACAGTTAGAATACACCCAATAACACTACACTGATGCCACAACCACTACCTAGATTGATACTGTTATTTTAGACCATGCAACCATTGATCTCCAATGGATGAACGAGAACTGTCTATCACAATGAATCATTAGACATTCCACTTTTCTTCACAAACTTCGTTTTTTTTTTTTAAAAAGTATACAAAAAAAAAAAAAATTTTTGAGTTGCACATGTCAGTAAAGAGAAACTTTGCATTGAGAAAATACTTTAGAAATTTTAATGTTATGATCTTGATCATTGCCATCCAAACTTAACCCACCTATTTTGTGGTTAGATGCACAGATTGCATTATGCCAATCACTTTTGCCGACTAATATATTTGGTAGCCCGTTTGGTTGCCAATAATTTGTCGGGGAAAGAAACGGTGACTAAATTTTTTTGGTAGCCAAAAGTGGCCTATTAGTGACTAAAATATAATTTTTAAAAATTATTAAATTTATATATATTTTTACTTTTAGGGACTAATTTATATAGTAGCCAATTGAGTATGTATGTTTGGCGATTAATTATTTGCTAGCTAAAAGTTTCACTTTTTGAGAATTGGCGACTAAAAATTTAGTAGTCAAAAGATTCTTTTTTACAATTGATGACTAACAGTTTAGTAGCCAAAAGTTTCACTTTTTTACAATTAGCGACTAAAGTTTTAGTTGCTAAAATTCAACCTGTGATATTTGTTTAGTCACCAAAAGATCTCATTTAGTTTTTATAATTTGTTCTGTAATATTTTTTGCGCCACCTATAACCTGTGCATATACAAAATTATTCATCCATTCATTCATTCAATTCTCAACCATTCAATAAAAATAGTTCTCCACAACCTGTACCATTCAATTTTCAACCACATACAAAACTTAACTATTAACCGTACATATCAAAGAAAATAAGAATCCATAAACATAGTATAATCCAACAAATACATATACTATCCAAACCAACAATTAAAATCCAAATTAATGAAAATCTTAATAAAAAAACATATTAGGGTCTCCATCTTCTTATCACGTGCTGTTGATGCAGCTTCGGATATGTTAGAAAAAGGTCTCCATCTCATTCTATTGTTAAATTCTTACATGTAGGTCACCGCATCGGGAATCAATCCAGTTATTTGTCTTGTTCAACTTGTGAGACTTCTCATAGTATTTGCAAAAATCAGGTAACTCTGCGTCATTCTCATCTACCTGTTAATTTCTCATCTAACAAAATTGTTTTAAGCAAAGAATCCAAATGTGGAAAAAGATTAAGAAGGAATCCAGTGACACAAAGATGAACATAAATTTCGAATAAAAAACATGAACCAACACCCAAAGTAACAAATGACACCAAGATGAGCAAAAGTACTCTTATTTCCATTATGAGTGAATGAGACTTGTGTAAATTCCCACTAATCATCAATCCAAGGAAAGGCCCTTGATATCTATTGGGTTAGTGGTGATGACTTCAAACTGTCAACTGTACTTCAAGCATTTGTAAAAGTATTCTAACTTTGTAAGAATTCATGAAAGAAAATTCATGGTTGAATGATATGTACTCTGAGCAAAGTATTTGACTAAATAAAAAGAGAAATGCTACCAAATTAAGCATTGAACTAGTGAAGAATGTGTAGTTACAACTTGTTCTGAAACATGTGCTTGCCAAGTGACTGATTATAAAACAATTGATTGACTGAAAAAAGAATCATAATGGTTTAGGACAGGTATATTACTTGATATAGTTCTTGCTTGGGTTCCTAGAAAAGCAAAGACATCTTAGATACTTGGTTAGCCATAGTGATCAATCATATATCAGCAACTTTCTGTTTTTATTAGTTGAGAAAACCAGTATGACCAACCTAAAAATGCCTTCAATCCGCAATATCTTGTCCCAAGTTTCAAGGACACCTTGTAAAGTGCTAATGATTGGAAGCCCAGCTCTAACAGTAACTTCATAGAAGTAATGTGTATAGGATTGTTGTTGACAAGCTCTCAACCTCAAATACTGGGATTTGGACAAAGTCCAGTCATGAAAGCCCCTAGATGAGTTTTTCAGAAAATGAAATGGAAAAAAAGATGCAAATAGATTTCTTCAAGTATTGATTATTTAGTAAATGAGAATACATCATTGGTGGATCACACAAACATGCATCATATTGTAACAAATTTATTGAACTAAAGCCAATAATGATCTAAACTAACAACCATTTCACTTGTAAAATCATAACAAGGGTACACTAAATCATAACTTTCAAGGAATTTTCTACTCATACACAGAGAGAAATTTTCTTCTAACTTTCAAGGAATCTTGCTTCTTCAAAATAAAAAAATTAAATTGTTATCAAATTCGAAATTAGGAACAAAAACCTAGTTGTGTTAATGATACACTATTCCATTATCCACAGTCACGTATACTATTCAAATGGCAATTTATATTATTCCATTATACAGAATTAAACATTAGCATAATAGCTTCTTTCAGATCAAAACATATCAACCAATTTGCATGACCAAGTTGAAGAATGTTAATGCATTTTAGTTCAACGACATCTACATCACATCACATCTATAAGCTTATATATTCATGGTACTCACCATGAAAATTGTTCACAGCTTTATTGGCCTCCTTAGGTGTTGAGAAGCAGACAAACCCAAACCCCTTGCTGGTTCCTTTTTCATCTCGCATTAGTTTTGTAGAGGTGATCGTGCTACACTGGCTGAAGTGTTCTCGCAGCTCATCATCAATGACATCATCATCAAAATTCTTGACATAGACATTTGAACCCTACAATTAAAAAGTGGACAATAAAATTTACCCCTAAAAGAAAAATTAAAATAAAAGTACATAATCCCCCCCCCCAAAAAACCCCCCCCCCCCCCCCAAATGAGAAAAATAAGCAGCAACGATACCTAGTATTTTATTATTTGCTCCTTTCGTTTCCCCTCAAATTAATGACGTAAAATATGCTCACTCTTCTTTCTTCTATGCTCTACTAGCATAGATAAAAACAAAAAATTCCCCCAAAAAAAAAAAAAAAAAAAAAAAAAAAAAACCCCCCCCCCCCCCCCAAATGAGAAAAATAAGCAGCAACGATACCTAGTATTTTATTATTTGCTCCTTTCGTTTCCCCTCAAATTAATGATGTAAAATATGCTCGCACTCTTCTTTCTTCTATGCTCTACTAGCATAGATAACCTTGGAACCTACTTAAAACATGCCACTGAAAACTGAGTAACTCTGATCTTTTCGGCAAATTAATTTCATTAAGAAAACATAACCTACCAAGTTGTGATCTATTCATAGCTTCTATTGCTCTCATGGCGTCATCTGCGCTGTCAAAATTCACAAATCCAAAACCTCTAGAGGCCCCATACTCATCCTTTGAGATAATTAAGCTGAGAATTTTACCAAACTCAGAGAACTTCTCAAGAAGTTCTTCTGTGACATCTAGATCCAAATTATTCACATACAAATTTGTATATCTAGCATTGAGACTAGGTAAAATTCTAAGCATATTTCTCTCTGTGTATAAGTTGTTCTCATATTAATTTGCTTCTTTTTTTTTCCTTCAGACAGGAGTGGAAGAAAATGATCAGAACTTTGCTTTACAATCATATTTTAGTAGCCATACATGCAAATAAATACACAATCAATGTGTATGAGTTCTTCTCTCTTGTTTCATGATATTCTTTCTTGGGTCTAGAGGAATAACAAATAAATTTATTAAATATTAAAACCGAAACCAATATGTGACTTCAGAATACAACAGAAGAAGTAGAAGAAAAGGATGAGCAGAGACAGATAAATTTTTGATTCGGGCATTGCATCAAACAGTTGGAGGTTTAAAATAATATTGAATGAATTTAATAGTTAAACTCTAAGTGATATACATTCAACTTTGAGTAGGCATGTTCAAATCATTATTCCAACTAAATTTAAAGCTACACTCAAATCAATGCAAGCATACTACTTTACAGCAAGCTCCATGATAAAATTAAACTAAGAAATCAACAATTATATATATATATATATATCTTCCATATATGCTTTTTCTTATTCTTATATTGTGATCTGCAATTTTGCTTTCTTTTGAACCACATAGCCATTGGCACCATAACCCAAACAATTAAATGTTATTACACAGATTCAAACATTAAAATTAACACCAATAACCCACAAACCCAAATCTAAAATTATGTTTATAAAAAAAAAGGAGCACAATTGGGTCAAATAGAAGAGAACCCAGAAACAATAGAACAATTGAGAAGTAGTAGTGGTACCTTAGTTGGGAAGCAGAAATGAGAGGATAGATTTTGGGGACGAAATCCATAACCATAACCATAACCAGCCACTTCACTTGCTGTTAATATGTGTTCAAACATGTCCACATAGACTCTAAATTCTAAATAAAATAAATTGTTCAATAAACAAACACAAGTACTGATGCAACAGGAAAATGTCTTCATCCCAGAATCTGAAGCAACAAGAACAACATAACTCTTCTAATAATCTATTATATCCTAAGATTACCATAAATATAGGAGACATAAACAGGGAAAGAAAAGAAAATAATGTTAGATTTATGAAATTTGTTTCAAATTTATGAAATCTGTTTTACAGGAAATTGAATATTTTTTTATTTAGTATATAGAAGAAAATAGAACATGACAACAAAGAAACGAAACTGGAACTAGAGTGAAATGGGGAAATGGGGAAATCTTGATTCTGGCTAAAAAAAACCCCAATAAATTACATACACTTGGTGAGCATAAATCAAAAAGATTAGTTTGCTCACCAACACAGGAAAACAGACTAACCCATTTTCACAAACACTGGCACAGGAGGCATGAATGAATGATAGATCTCTCTTGCAACCCACTGAAAGTTGTATAAATAGGATGCTAACTTAGATTACTTCAATTCTCCAAAAAAAAAAAGAACATCCAAAATCTCATAAACCCAAATTCTTTCATTGTTTTTGGGACCTTTGAACAAGGGTCCCTCATAATGATAATTGTCTTTGTGAAATTTAGAGAGAGAAGGAGAGAGAGAGACCTTCCATTCGGAGAAACCAGAGTCATGTTTGGTGCATTTATAGTCTTCCCTCTTCACAATTGCAATGGTGGTGGAGGAGGTGGAGGTGCTCCAGTTGGCGGCAAACACGAAGAGAAGTAGCGGTGAGAGAGGGAGGGGAGGAGAGGGGAGAGGAGGAGCGGAGAGAGAGAGAAACGCTGAAAATATATATAGAGAGAGAGAGAGAGAGTTGCTGGTTTGTTAGGGTTTGGGTTGGAAACAAAATACATATATAATAACAATTCGCGATTAAATATTTTAGTCGTTAATTAATTTTTTAATCCTTTCAAAATTTGAAATCTCCCTTCAAATATTTAGTTTTTTGGCAACTAAAATATTCTTTTGTCGCTGAAAATATACTTTATAAAAAAAATTTTTTTTTTCTTTTCATTCGGCTACTAAACAATTTTCGTAGCTAAAGCAAACTATAACACTACTAAAATATTCTTTTGTCACTGAAAATATACTTAAAGATAAAAAATATTTTTTTTTTCTTTTCATTCGGCTACTAAACAATTTTAGTAACTAAAACTAACTATACGACTACTAAAATATTCTTTTGATGCTGAAAATATAGTTTTGGCCACCAAAATTTTGGTTGCCAAATACAAAAAATAAAAGAAAATTTCCATTCGGATACTAAACAATTTTAGTAGCCAAAACTAGCTATACGGCTACTAAAAAAAATTTTAGTTGCCAATTGTGATGTTTTTAGCAACTAATTTTTTTTTTTTAGTCGCCAATAATCAATATTCTCCCACTAAAAAAAATTAGTAGCTAAAAATTTGACTTTTGCCAATAATATTATTTTTGGTCGCCAATTCCACAACTTTTGGCGACTAAATTTTTTTTAGTCGCCAAAAGCGAATTTTGTTGTAGTGTAGATAATTTGGCAATAGTTCAAGGGTAGAAAATGAAATTAAACCTCAATAACATTTTATTTTATTTAATGAGTCTTGAAACTTGTTCAATTGTCGAGTGGCATATAGCCGCGCTGTAACAACCCCGACCTATGATTAGCCTTTAATGAAATTCTAAATTTATTTGCATGTGTGTACGACATTATTTGTGTTTCTATCTATCCATCGTAGAGATATTTGTTTATCGTTCTGTACTGTTCTGTGAATTGAAGGCCTTATCGGCATCCGATAGCGAAATTGACTTGAATTATGTGTTAGTTAGAATTTTCAGAATCTTATGGTAGGTTCAATTGAAAGTCGATTTGAAACGATTTAATTAGAATAATTTATGTCTAATTGAGTAATTTGATCAACCATTTAATTAAACCATTAATTTAGCCTATATAAGGCATTAATGGACCCTTGTTTACATTTTACACTCTCATATCTTCATCCTTGGTGGAAAAAATGTGAGAGTCAGAGAGGGAGTAGTAAGATTTGACTCTAAGCTTGAGAATCGGAGAGACTTGAAAGGGAATTGAAAGAATTGACTTGTGAGCTCAAACATCAACACATCTAAGCTAAAATTGAGCCCCTAAGGTAAGAAATCAAGCCTTTAGTTGTGTAATTGGAGTACTTACCACATGTATTCAAAAGAACTAAGTGAATTGAAGCAAGAATTAAGTTGATTGAGGTAAAAAGAAGAAGATGCATGCATTCATGTGCATCACATGACAAATAGAGCATGTTGTCTAAGAATTTGTCCCATGCATGTTTATATTTTAGCCATGGTTTAAGAATTCAACATGCTTTTGAGCTAAACACCTCATTTGATTATATTTTGGACACTTGAAGCTCAAACCATTTCATGCATGTAGTATTCATGTTATGTTCTTAAAGTCTCTAGGTGGATTTTGAACAACTAACATAATTTTGGGTCTTGATTTCATGAAATGATCTTCAAACCATGGTATTTTACAAGTTTCTAACTGTTTTCTGGAAATTTGGCCCAAAAAGATGAGTTTTGAAGGGTGTAATTTGAGTTTGAAGCTTGGGAGTGCAATCTGGAAATTCCAGATTCTACACTTTCGCTTGAACGGCATAATCTGCGCTCGAGCGACCACTCTATGATCTTGCACTTCCACTCAAGCGACCAAAAGTTTGCTCAAGCGAGAAATGCGAGCTCCCAGAAATTTTCACATTTTACAGACCGCTCGAACGACAGAAATTGCGCTTGTCGCTCGAGCGGTGACCTCAGTCTTACGCTCAAGCGATCGTCGAGCGACTATCGAGTGAGGGAATCTATGCTTGAGTGACCCCTCACATGTTTGCATGTTTGCTTGAGCGAGGGAAGTTACGCTCAAGCGAGACCCCTGTTTTCAGCAAGTTTGGTTAAGAGTTCCGAAGTGTATTTTGGCATTCACATTGCATCATAGGCATTCCTAGGCCATGTTTAAGACTCAATAAGAGGCTAAGACTTAGAAAAAAGACTAAGAATGAAACGAAAGAAGTTAAGTATCAACCGAGTGTGTGTTACATTATGTATTTCTATTATGTGTGTGTAGGTCACACGTCACAAGTTATCTGATTTGTCCGTTTTGTAAGTGGAGCCATCTGTGAGTAATAACTCTGTAAAGTTATGTTTAACTATAACAATTTTTTGATGCTATGAAATGATCAGTTTTTTGAAATGCGAAGTTTTAGATAAATGAATGATTATCCAAATTTCTGAAATGTATTCGTGGCATCCTTAGCACAAGGTCCTTGCCCGGGGGTAATAATACTGTGGTCTAATGGCCCTTGCCTGGGGGTAACAATACCGTAGTTCAAGTATATTACAAGTTCCCGGTACCGAAGATTCCTTATGGAACTAGCAAGCAAGATAATGCTAATAGATGTGCAATGTATGACTAAGCATGAATTTTGATTGCCGTATGAAGTTTGAACAAGAATATGAATATACATATGTTTTTTATTTGAATTCTGATTTCTGATTCTGTTAGGGACATCGTTCATTCAAACCCTTTACTCTGTTATTATTCGCTGGGCTTCCGCTCACTTTATTATATTATGTATCTAGGTGAGCAAGCGTGTGACCAAGCCTAAACTGCTAGCTGGAGTGTTTTGGGTCAGCCAGCCACTGTGCCTCCCGAGGAGGTTCCCTTTTAAATGTTTAGTTTGTCACATTGCTACAGATGTTTTTGCTTTGTTTTGTTTATATGTATATTGGGTTGAGTTCCTTTTTGGCATTATCTGTGTATTGGAGTGACATAAGACTCATATATTTATGACGTCATATATATATATATATACAAGTTGTTTTGAAATTTTCTGTCTCATATACGTTAACACAGCTCTATGGACATTGTATATTTTCTATATTTGCTTCTGCAGCCCCTTATTATATGTTATTCTATTAAGAGGCCTTTGGTAATCCAAGGATTACTGGCTAGTTATGACGCTAAACCGCGGGTTTGGGTCGCAACAGAATGGTATCAAAGCACGCATCTTACTGCACACACGTGTCCATATGAGCTATAAGATGTCCTAGAAAAGAAGTAGGGACATTCATGTGCATGTGTGAGTGTGTGAGTTGATTACTATGACAACTGAATCTGAACATGAATTCAACTTGACTTCACATAAATGAAACAAATGAATTGAAACTGAATATTCTGAACATTATGGAAGGGTTTACTCGCCTATGTTTATTATTGTTGTGTTTACCTATAGCTAATGGAGAATGCAAGAAGCAATGATACAAGTGAATCCTCAGAGACTCACATGAGCTGAATGGAACAAATGATTACCTCTCTAACTGATGCAATAGCACAATAACAAAGACAACAACCGATGCCTCCTATGCCCCCTCCGGTCCAAGTTGAATTGGATAATAATGACATAATCAACCTAACGCAGAAATTCATGAAGATGAAACCGCCAACCTTCTTAGGTGGTATTGAACTGTTGAAAACGGAGACATGGTTACTAGAAATGGAAAAGTTATTTGAAGTGTTTTCCTGTACTGAGACTCAAAAGGTTTTATTGGCCACCTACACTCTTAAAGATGAAACTCAGAGATAGTGGTTACTGACCGGAAATAGTAATGGGAATATGACCTAGGCTCAATTCAATAGATCTTCTATAACAAGTACTTTCCCCAATGCTTTAGAGACCGAAAAGTTTTTGAATTCCAAGAATTGAAGCAAGGTAGAATGTCCATAACCGAGTATGAGGCTAAGTTTACTGAGTTGGCCAGATTTGCTCCTTATATGGTCAACATAGATTATAAGAAGGCCCAAAAATTTAAAGGGGGCTTAGACCTGGACGTGTATCATAGAGTGGGTGTATTGAAATTACCTACTTATGTGGAAGTACTTGATAGAGCATTGATGGCAAAGGCCATACTAGCAGCCAAGAAACAAGCTATAACTCCAACAACTGAATGAAGAGGTAAAAGCGCCGGATTCAATTTCAAGAAAGGCCGATCATTTCCGAAGAAGCAAAATACTAGATCGTCAAGTAGCTCAAGCCAAAGCAGTGGGTCTATGCCGGTTTGTCCAGAATGTGGAAGAAAACATAGGGACATGTGTCACCGTGCATCTGGTGCTTGTTTTCGATGTGGCAAGACAAGCCACATGATTAGAGATTGCCCAATGAGACTCGACACGACTACCCGTCCTGTGGCAAGTTCAGCCGAATCTGCTCCTGCACCAAGCAACAATGCGAAAACCAATACTGGAAGAGAAACTTTGAGACAAGGCCAGGTTTTTACATTAATACTTGGGGATGCACAGAATACTGAGTCAGTGGTGTCAGGTATAATCTCTATCTATGCTCAGAATACCTATGTGCTGATTGATTCTGGTTTCACACATTCATTTGTGTCGCATGCTTTTTCTCAAAAATTAACTAAACTATTAAAACCTATGAACTGTTTGTTATCTGTGTCTACACCATCTGGGGGTTCTATGATACGTGCTTATGTCTATCTAGCATGTGATATTATTATTGGTAATATGACATTGTATGCTAATTTGTTGCCCCAGAGCATTGATCATTTTGATTGTATTCTAGATATGGATTGGTTAACTAAATACTGCGCCACCATTGATTGTGCAAATAAATCTGTTGTGTTTAGACCACCTGGTATGCCAGAGTTTGTTTTTACTGGAAATGGGGTAGTTCCTCTGCCATACTTGATTTCATTTATGAAAGCCAGGAAATTATTAAGAAAAGGTTGTCGAGGCTACTTGTGTTGTGTGTTGACTAAGTCTTCAGATATTGCTAATGTGGAAACGATACCTATAGTTCGTGAATTTCCTGATGTGTTTCCTACTGACCCACTTGGGGAATTAATTGATTGAGAAATTGAGTTCACTATTGATGTAGTACTCGGGACACAACCAATTTCTAAAACCCCATACAAAATGACTACTTCTGAACTTAAGGAATTAAAAACTCAACTCCAGGAACTATTAGACAAGAAGTTTATCCACCCGAGCACTTCACCTTAGGGTGCTCCAGTGTTATTTGTCAAAAAAAAAGATGGGTCTTTGAGGTTATGTATTGACTACCGTGAGTTGAACAACGTAACTGTCAAGAACAAGTACCCACTACCCCGAATAGATGACCTGTTTGATCAACTTCAAAAAGCACAACTGTTCTCTAAGATAGACCTTAGATCCAGATATCACCAACTAAAGGTGAAAGCAGAAGACATTGAGAAAACCGCTTTCCGAACTAGATACGGACATTATGAATTCTTAGTCATGCCATTTGGGGTAACTAATGCACCTGCAGCATTTGTGGACTTAATAAATAGAGTGTTCAAACAATTCCTTGATGTGTTTATTGTTGTGTTCATCGATAATATATTGATTTAATCTAAAAGCAGGGAAGAACATGAAAATCACCTGAGAATTGCTTTACAGATTCTGAGAGAAAAGAACCAAATGCGAATTTTGGCTTAACAGTGTGGCATTTTTGGGGCATGTAATCAACAAGGAAGGTATCTTCATTGACCCACCAAAAATTCAAGCTATTGTGAACTGGCCTAGACCGATGAATGTAACAGAAGTTCGAAGTTTTCTAGGACTTGCAGGCTATTATCACAAATTTGTAAAAGATTTTTCCAAACTTACTTTGCCACTCACTTAATTGACACAAAAAGCTATACCATTCGACTGGACTAATCAAAGAGAGACTGCTTTCCAAGAGCTAAAAACCATATTAGTAACTGTACCAATTTTGACCTTACCTAATGGTGCTGATGGGTTTCAAGTTTACAGTGATGCTTCCCACAAAGGTTTGGGGTGTGTGTTGATGCAAAATGGAAAAGTGATTGCTTATGTTTCTCGACAACTCCACCCCCATGAAAAGAACTATCCAACCCACGGCCTTGAATTAACCACTGTGATATTTGTTTTAAAAATTTGACGCCATTATCCGTATGGAGTAACTTGTGAAATATACACAAATCACAAAAGCTTAAAATATTTCTTCACCCAAAAAGAGTTAAACATGAGACAGAGGAAATGGTTAGAATTGATCAAGGACTATGATTTGAAAATTTTGTATCATCCAGGAAAGGCAAATACCGTTGCAGATGCATTGAGTCGAAAATCTATTAGGAATTTGTCATGTTTGCTCACCGATCGGAGAGAGTTATTGTGTGACTTGAAGAAAAATGAAATTGAAATTGTGTTGCGTGAACAAGGCAGAATCTTGGCTGCCATTTCTGCCCAACCTGCAATCATTGACGAAATTAAAAAGAAACAACGTGAAGATGAGTTTCTAAGGAAAATTGTTGATGAGATTGACTCAAAACCGAGACCGAGATTTGTGCTTGGCAATGATGTATTGAAATTTCATAATCGCCTTTATGTGCCAGATTGTTTTGACTTGAGGAAACGCATCATGACTGAAGCTCACAATTCGACATTTGCTATGCATCTGGGAAACACAAAGATGTATCATGACTTGAAACAGAATTTATGATCTCGAATGAAGAAGTGAATTGTAGATTTTGTGGCAAAATGTCCACATTGCCAACAAGTTAATGCCGAACATCAACGACCCGCTGGTTTGCTATAGCCACTCCCAATACCAGAATGGAAATTGGAGCATATTACCATAGACTTTATTGTGGGATTACCTCGTTCTTCTTGAGGTATGGATTCTATTTAGGTCATTGTTGATCATTTAACTAAATCTGCTTACTTTGTACCTATCAAATCTTTGTATAATGCGGATAAGTTGGCTAATTTATATGTCAATGAGATTGTGAAATTACATGGAGTTCCAATGTCTATAGTATCTAACAGAGATCCCAAGTTTACTTCGAGATTCTGGCAGAGTTTGCAACAAGCTTTGGGAACTGAGCTGAGATTAAGTAGTGCTTATCACCCACACACAAATGGCCAATCTGAACGGACCATTCAAACATTGGAAGGCATGTTACGAATGTGTGTGTTAGACTTTCAAGGCAATTAGGAGACTTACCTTCCTCTGGCCGAATTTGTGTATAACAACAGCTATCATTCAAGCATTGGAATGGCTCCTTATGAAGCTTTGTATGGTAGGAAATATCGTTCTCTGATTTGTTGGGCCGAGGTAGGTGACAAACCTTTGTTGAGACCGGAACTTGTGCAAGAAACAACTGAAAATGTGAAATTGATTCAACAAGGACTGAAAACTATACAAAGTCGCTAAAAGAGTTATGCGGATGTTCGAATGAGAGATAAGGAATATGCAGTCGAGGATCACGTGTTTATCAAAGTAATTTCGATGAAAGGCCAGACGCGGTTTGGAGTAAAAGGAAAATTAGCACCGAGATATGTTGGACCATACGAAATCCTTGAGAAGATCAACCCAGTAGCATATCGGATAGCCTTACCACTAGTCATGGAACATATACATAATGTTTTCCATGTCTCCATGCTTCAAGATTATCTACGAGATCCATTACATGTCATTGAACCTATACATGTGCTTTTGAAAGATGATTACACCTATGAGGAGAAGCCAATACAGATTGTTAATCGCTGAATCAAAAGACTAAGGAACAACAAATTCCATTGGTAAAGGTTGATTGGAAAAACCACGGAGGGACCTATGCAACTTGGGAAACAGAGGAAGATATGATGAGGAGCTACCCTGAATTGTTTCCTTTGGATCTGATACTCTTCCAAATGAAGGTAATCCGAGTTTAGAAGGCCAAACTAATTAAGGGGGGAAGACTGTAACAACCCCGACCTGTGATTAGCCTTTAATCCATGATTAAATATGCCTAAGAAGAATTAAGATGAAATTCTAAATTTATTTGCATGTGTGTACGACATTATTTGTGTTTCTATCTGTCCATCGTAGAAATATTTGTTTGTCGTTTTATTTTGTCCTGTAAATTGAAGACCTTATCAGCATCCGATCGTGAAATTGACTTGAATTATGTGTTAGTTAGAATTTTTAGAATTTTATGGTAGGTTCAATTGAAAGTCAATTCGAAACGATTAAATTAGAATAATTTATGTCTAATTGAGTAGCTTGATCAACCATTTAATTAAACCATTAATTTAGCCTATATAAGGCATTAATGGACCTTCATTCACATTTTACACTCTCATATCTTCATCCTTGGTGGCAAAAACGTGAGAGTAAGAGAGGGAGTAGGAAGATTTGACTCCAAGCTTGAGAATTATGGAGACTTGAAAGGGAATTGAAAGAATTGACTTGTGAGCTCAAACATCAACACATCTAAGCTAAAATTGAGCCCCTATGGTAAGAAATCAACCTTTAATTGTGTAATTGGAGTACTTACCACATGTATTCAAAAGAACTAAGTGAATTGAAGCAAGAATTAAGTTGATTAATGTAGAAAGAGGAAGATGCATGCATGCATGTGCATCACATGAAAAATAGAGCATGTTGTCTAAGAATTTGTCCCATGCATGTTTATATTTTAGCCATGGTTTAAGAATTCAACATGTTTCTGAGCTAAACACCTCATTTGATTATGTTTTGGACACTTGAAACTCAAACCATTTCATGCATGTAGTATTCATGTTATGTTCTTAAAGTCTCTAGGTGGATTTTGAACAATTGACATAATTTTGTGCTCAAGCAACCACTCTGCGATCTTGCACTTCCGCTCAAGCGACCAAAAGTTCACTCTAGCGAGAAATGCAAGTTTCCAAAAGTTTTCACATTTTACAGACCGCTCGAGCGATAGAAATTGCGCTTGTCGCTTGAGCGATCGTCGAGTGGCCATTGAGCGGAGATTTCACACAAGCAGTACTTTTTCAGAGTTTACATCTTGATTTCATGAAATGATCTTCAAACCATGGTATTTTACAAGTTTCTAAATGTTTTCTGGAAATTTGGCCCAAAAAGATGAGTTTTGAAGGGTGTAATTCGAGTTTGAAGCTTAGGAGTGCAATCTGGAAATTCCAAATTCTGCACTTCCGCTCGAGCGGTATAATCTGTGCTCAAGCAACCACTCTACGATCTTGCACTTCCGCTCAAGCGACCAAAAGTTCACTCGAGCGAGAAATGCAAGTTTCCAGAAGTTTTCACATTTTACAGACCGCTCAAGCGATAGAAATTGCGTTTGTCGCTCGAGCGATCGTCGAGCGGCCATCGAGCGGAGATTTCACACAAGCAGTACTTTTTCAGAGTTTACAGACCGCTCGAGTGAGGGAATCCGCACTCGAGCGGCCCCTCACATGTTTGCATATCCGCTCGAGCGAGGGAAGTTTCTCTCGAGCGTGACCCCTGTTTTTAGCAAGTTGGGTTAAGAGTCTTAAAGTGCATTTTGGCATTCACATTGCATCCTAGGCATTCCTAGGTCATGTTCAAGACTCAATAAGAGGCTAAGACTTAAAAAAAACACTAAGAATGAAACGAAAGAAGTTAAGTATCAACCGAGTGTGTGTTACATTATGTTTTTCTACTATGTGTGTGTAGGTCACGCGCCACAAGTTATCTAATTTGTCTGTTCTACAAGTGGAACCATCTGTGAGTAATAACTCTGTAAAGTTATGTTTAACTTTAACTATTTTCTGATGCTATGAAATGATTAGTTTTCTGAAATGCGAAGATTTGTATAAATAAAAGATTGTCCGAATTTTTGAAATGTATTTGTGACATCCTTAGCACAAGGCCCTTGCCCGGAGGTAATAATACTGTGGTCTACAAGTACAAGGCCCTTGCCCAGGGGTAACAATACTGTGCCTTTTAAGTAAGGCCCTTGCCCGGGGGTAATAATACCGTGGTCTCATGGCTCTTGCCCGGGGGTAATAATACTGTGGCACAAGTATATTACAAGTTCCCGGTTCCGGAGGTTCTTTATGGAACTAACAAGCAAGATAACGCTAATGAATGTACCATGTATGACTAAGCATGAATTCTGATTTCCATATGAAGTTTGAACACGAATATGAATATACATCTGTTTTTTATTTGAATTCTGATTTCTAAATCTGTTAGAGACATCGTTCATTTAAACCCTTTCTTCTGTTATTATTCACTGGGCTTCTACTCACTTTATTATATTATGTATGTAGGTGAGTAGGCGCGTGACCAGGCCTAAGTTGCTGCCTAGAGTGTTTTGGGTCAGCTAGCCACTGTGCCTCCCAGGAAGGTTCCCTTTGAAATGTTTAGTTTGTCACCTTGCTACAAATGTTTTTGCTTTATTTTGTTTATCTGTATATTAGGCTAAGTTCCTTTTTGGCATTATCTGTGTATTGGAGTGACGTAAGACTCATGTATTTATGACGTCACATATATATATATACAAGTTGTTATGAAATTTTATGTCTCCTATATGTTAACACAGCTCTATGGATATTGTATATTTTCTATATTTACTTCTGCAGCCCCTTATTATATGTTATTCTATTAAGAGGCCGTTGGTAATCCAAGAATTACCGGCCGGTTACGATGCTAAACCTATAGGGGTGGATTTGGGTCGCGACACGTGCCTTAGGGTGCGGTGAGTGAAAAGTCTGGAGTTAGTGTTAATGAATCAGCGGCGAGTCAGTGGCAGAGCCACATGGTGACCAGGGAGGTCACGTGCCCTCCCTGGATTTTTTTTTTTTTACATATATATATATAAATAAAATTTTAAACAAAAATAATATTTAGAATAAAATGTCAAGAGCATTTTTAAATTTATGAAAACAATAGTGATTGTTTTATTGAGAATAAAGTGACTACAACAAATTATATTTTTATCTATAAGAATTTTGAGACAAAATCTTAATACAAAGGTAATATCTATCATTATTGATATGAAAATATAATTAATCTCACTATATATATATGTATGTGTGTGTAAAAATTACTAGAGTGTTTGTTATATTTGCGTGTGGAGTTCACCTTTCATATGTTGCTTTACTATTGGTTAGTGATATCATATATCAATAATAATGTGATATTACTATTATATGAAATTTTTACTCAAATTTTGTAAAAATTTGATTTATCTTACCATTATATGATTTATTTTACGACTTAAATATATGACTTTTTTACATTATCCATGATACACTAGTTACACGCAATACTTTCTTTTCGATTTTACTCGAAATTAATTGTAAAATTTTATACTTTTGTAATAATTTATTTAAGTTTTTGTACTTAATATTAATTCAAAAATTATTATTATCTTTTTATTGTTGGTTATGGAAAAAAAAAATTTAAAATTGTAATTAATAAGTGTCCCTTCTGATGTAGTTTCCTAACCCTGCCACTGGCAGCGACCATGATACACTAGTTACACGCAATACTTTCTTTTCGATTTTACTCGAAATTAATTGTAAAATTTTATACTTTTGTAATAATTTATTTAAGTTTTTGTACTTAATATTAATTCAAAAATTATTATTATCTTTTTATTGTTGGTTATGGAAAAAAAAATTTAAAGTTGTAATTAATAAGTGTCTCTTCTGATTTAGTTTCCTGACCCTGCCACTGGCAGCGACCCCTTTAAGTTGTAACCCAACTTTATTAATATACTAACATTCTATCTTTGACCAAAAAAAAAAACTTGTTCCATTTTAAACAATTAGTTAGAAATAAAAAATTATTAAATGCAACTAATTTAATCAATAGGTTAAAAATAGAAAATTACTAAACTCAAGACAATTTAATGTAACATTAAATACGCATTAACAAGTTAAAATTAGAAAGTTACTAAATTCAAGAAAAATTAATACAATGTTAAATGTACCTTATCAAGTGCCCCAGGGGCACTTGTTAGCATTAGTTTTTATTAAATATGTGGTTAAGATAATAAATTATCTACTCTATATTAAAAAGTACGAACACTATAGACTGTTTTCTACTCTTTTTTTTAATCCCAAAACACCATTTCTTACTAATTGATATTTATAACCCAGTTAATTTGAAAATGTAGCACATTGGAAATTGAATTTCTCTATAAAACCAACTCCTTGTTTTTTTACGAAGACCATAGAATGTTTTCTATTTTTATGGTCCCCTGGTTTAAAATCATCTCACCACCAATAGGTGACTCTACACAGATAGGAGATGCTAATCGAGCCAACTCCAACCCCAAAACCGATGCAAATGCAGACGAAATAAATGAATGGGATGCACCTGTATTAATCAACATATTAGCAACTAAATTGCAAAACAAGAAAGTACCTCTCACTACAGAAGGCGCTGGAACTAGATCCGGCGCAATAACAGCATACACGCGCCCTGTCGGTCTCTGATCTACCTGCTTATCCTCGAAGCATAGGTTTGATGTACAGACTGAGCTGAAGAGGCTCCCTAATTGCCCCTCAAGGCCTGCGTTAACTGTGTTGGCTGGTGACTCTGTATCTGTCTTGAACCAGATGCACCAGGTGTGCCATCCAACTGTGGGCAAAACCTCTTTAGGTGCCCCACCTGCCCACACTGATAATAAGTAAGCGGCTGGCCTCTCTCTTGACTCTGGCTCTGAGAGTGAGCTGAAGACGATGCCGATCATTGCCCTCCTCCTCTCTACAGACAAGCGGGAGACTTGTGGCCCAACTGACCACACT